ATACATTAAAGGACTACTAATTCAGATATATATGTAAAGTAATCAAATTAATAATTAATTACTTGACAATAATTCTATATACTTCACATATATATAAATATATATATAAAATAAAATTACATGAAGCATATCAAACATACACCATAGAGGATAATTAATTAATGGACTATTTATCAATAAATAATTAAAAAAATATATTTATTAATTAAAATAAATAATTTTAAAGACAACAATTTGTAACAATTAATATTTTACACACTACCTTTCATGCAAACCCTATTCCAATTTCATGAAACATAAATTTACAAAATTAAAATTAAAAAAAACAAACCCTAAATCTAGATCTAAATCTACATATACATGAAACATACATGAAACTAGGGTGTAATCTCAACTAAAATCAAGCAAGATCGACTAATAAATGGTGTAATATCATTTATGTAACTAATTTACACTAATAGCTTCAAAACTAGAGTCTAATTTGCTTCATACAAAGCTCAAGCACCATAGAAGAGGGAGAAAAGCAAAACTCTAATTACGACCACTAACCATTAAAATTTCAAATAAAGGCTTGGAATAGTATTTTGTTACCTTGTACAACCTCTCCACCAAAATATTTGAGATCAAAACCTCCCCACTTAGTAGAGTAATTTTTGGGAGGAGCCTAAGGTCTCCCAACCTTTTTTGCTTGGGTTGAAGAGAGTGGCCCGAGATGAAAGAAGGTGGCTGCTATATATACAGTGGGCATTTACAGGAGCGGCTGGTGATTCAGCCGCCCCTACAAATGGACACAGTAGGGGTGGCTGGTAATAGCCGCCTCTACATACCAGCCGTCCCTACAAATCGATACATTTGTAGGGGCGGCTCATATTACCTGCCGCCCCTACTGTGCCATTTGTAGGGGCGGCTGTTGTGCTGGAGTCCGAGCACGCCACTGTAGGGGTTGTTTCAATACCAGCCGCCCCTAAAAAAAACCCTATTGTTACAAACCGTTTTTCGCGTAGTGTTTTTGGCTAACGAAAAATTCAATATATTTGGATGATCATTTAGAAAAGCTATTGGAGGGTAGTTTTTCACTGAAACTTTTACTCCTAGCATTTAGAAAGTATATGGAGAGCTCTTGAAGATGCTCTAACGACGTTTATGCTGGCTGAGTGGTATATGGGCCAGCGACGATCTTGGCCCATTATGTGTATAATATTCATCAATCACGTACAATATTATCTTATCTAAATTGTGTCCAAATATTTAGCCATTGTTACTTGTAAATCTCCTCAACCAAGGATCAATTTCCCTTTTGTCCTTACATACGTGCTCACTATAACTAGCTAGCAAAAGGAAAACATGTATAACACTTTATGGAGCCCAAGCTATGCCAATAATTTTGATTCCGGCCAGCTCATAATACACACCTCTTTATTATTTATTAATTGACACACCTGATTTATGGGGTAATCATCAGAACACTTGTATCCTAGCCGCACCTATGAATTTGCAATGATCATCAAACCAGCTCAACCATGAATAAATACACCACTTAGTACGCAAGCATTAGTCTAGGTAATGCAAGTTTTATAGACGAGCATAAATATTAATGCATGCGTAAAATGTTACAAAATCTCGTATTACAGTGTCATTGAGTTACCCTCACTTTGGGTAGGTTCTTGTGGCACCCTAGTGAGGGTTTGGTGTGGTGCCAATTAGCTTGTGAACCACCAAGTGCGTGGTCGACACAACGGGGACTAGCGTGTCGGCAAGCACATGCACCTCGGGATAAAAATCGTGTGCCATTTGTCCCTTGGTATTCACTTGGATTTCATTGATTGATTGATCATCTCACTTGCCACGTGCGGTACTCTTGCATTTACATTCCTAGTGATATCTTGTGTAGAGATAGTTAAGTAGCTAGTGTAGCTTAGTTGGTGATCTAGTTGTTTTTAGCTTGCTCACTAGTTAGTGAAGTAGAGACATAGCCTTGTGTGTGCTTAGTGATCATAGCAACTAGAATTATTGGTATATGTGGCTTGCAATCTTTGTAGAGCTAGGACAAAATTGTATTTCACCATTTAGGTTACTAACCATTTGCTCTAGTGAATTTGTAGATAATTTCTATAGGCTATTCATCTCCTAGCTATTTAGGACCTTTCAAGAGTGCAGTGACGTAGGAGTGTAGGAGTGATGGATTGGATCGGATAACAGCTTGGCATAGTCAAACGCCAAATAAATAGCTTTAGCACGGCTGCATAGTGAATCTTGGGGACGACTACAGTGGGAGGTGGCCGGTGCAATGTAGGTCGGGGAACTGGCGGCGCGACGTAGACGGTGTGCATCTAAGTGAATATGAGTCACGACTCAAGACTCAAGAGTGAGTACCGGTGGCTAGAGAAGTAGGGGACTTTTTGTTTCCCTGGGCAAGCCCCTTCCCTCGCCTAGCTCGACAAGAATTGCTGTTTGGTAGAGCAAGAAACCCTTGCTTCACTGTGCAAGCTCAGACACCATGGCAAGGATATCCTTGAGTTTGGCTCTCCCGCTCAAGCAATCTTTGCTCATCCACTTGAGCACAGACTCCCAGTCCTAGTCCTCCACTAGAAAATAGAAAATAGAGAGAGAAAAAGATGGCAAGGCAATTGAATAAGAGAACCAAACAACTTCCTCTTTTCTTGCCACACCTATCTTTGCTAGGTGAGTTTTTTAAGACTCATCTTTACTAGGTGAATTGAGGAAGACAAGGCTATGCGAGCCTAGCAAAAGATCCAAGCAAACCCGTAGAAATAGGGCACGTTTGGTTGTCGGGCGAGCACTCGCCTTGCCATGCTTGGCAAGGAGGCAACTGATTGGTTCTCCAGTCAACTTCGTTATCTTTGTTTTTCAGAATTTTTTTCTTGAGTGAGCCAATTCAGCTCTCCTCCGCTGGCAAGGCTAACCATACCTAGCGAAGCGAAGCAAGGCAATGGAGCGAGCCATCTAAGGCACCCTTTGGCTCACGGGTGAAGCTTAGGAAAAATGTAGGAATCCAAAAACATAGGAAAGGAAGCATCGTGGTCGATTGGAATGGAGGAAACTTTCATCGGGAACACTGTAGTGAGATGCCGATTTGACAGGACAGAAAACATCATTCTGCAGCACTTTTCTCTTTCCACAGTTTAGTTGTTGACGAAATACGTCCGGCAGTCTACCGAGGGGTATGCCCACGGTAGTAGATGAATCGGTAGAGGTGCGCGTGAGGGAACCGGATGGTGACACAGAACGCAAGAGACAGCGATTAGGCAGGTTCAGGCTGTTAGCTTGACATAATATCTTACGTCCTGTGTCTTTGTGGATTGTATTATGAGAGATTCGATGAAAACGAGGGGTCCCTACCCTTCTTATATAGGTCGGAGGTAGGGTTACAGATCGGTTAATTCTATCCAGATCGATTTACAAGATAGAAATTATAGAGATTGCGGAATCTAGCGTATCCGAACAGATCATCCTTGATCGCCAATGATCTTCATACAGTCTTGCGAGACACGCCGACTTGTACCGTGCTCAGCGCGGCATAGTCTTGCGGGCTGAGCCTCCCCTGGCGGCTCGGCCCATATACAGCTCCGTGGGTATCGGGGGTTATACCCCTATGATTTGTGCAAATCATTCGTCAACTTTTGCGTAGTGCAGTACAGTTCAACTAGTCAGGTTGGTCATTTGCCTTGGAGTTCCCAAAACACGAGGTTGGTCATTTGCCTCGGAGTTCCCAAAACATGAGTTCCAACCGGATGTTTTATTTTCTGCGTTCTCGTGAGTGAAGGTATCCTTTCCTCTGAAATCGACACTGTGCATTCTTCCGTTCCAAACATGACGTCAGCAAATCCACAGGAACTGAAGCCTACGCTTCACCCGTGAACCAAAGGGACATAAACGTGTGCCCATAATGTAAATGGTGCGTGCGGACGGTGGAGTATTGGGCTGGGCTTTTTTTTTTGGCATTTAGGTACCGGGCTGGAGTCAGTACCCAAATTAAGGCCATCTGTCCAAGGAAACAAGTCTGGATTTAGGCCCAGACCGCCGCCACCGCCATCACCAGCGGAGAGCTAGCCAGTTGGTCACTTCCTCGCGACTAGGCGCGGCTGCTGGCCCGCCGAGCATTCTCCCGGCTGCGCTGACGGCCGCGGTCCGCCGGCCGCCGTGCCTTCTCCAGGCCGCGCCGACGCCCCGCGAAGAAGAAGACCCCGGTTGTGCTGGCGCCCATCGCGAAGCCCCTCTCCGGCAAGAAGCTCTGAAAGCGGGCGGCGGACCCTCAAGCTCGTGCGCCGAGGTTCATTCGATTTCTATCTTCGCCCTATTTGATTCTTTTATTCCCATCCGGTTTTGATTTGATTCTCGCCGTATTTGCAGCCTCGGAAGCCAAGGAGGTTGTAAGAGCATCTGCGTGGGAACAAAGGGTTAGTACTTTTCAATCCTTTGCCAAAGGGTCTCTGGCATAGTGGTTAGAGCACCTGGGTAGGCAGGCCTGGGTTCGACTCCCGTGAGTTAAACAGGTCTGGAATAAAAAAATATATAAAAAAAAGGTTAGGGTTCTCCTACTTACTTCGGTCAAAAACTTTTCAATCCTTTGGTCTGTCTATTCAGTGCTTGGTAACTTGTATCGTCTATTTGGTGATGTTATAAAGTCCCAATGACCATAAGAGTAGTTGGGCTCGTTGTAGTAATCAGCAAATTTCCTAGTAAGCTTTTTTATGTATCTTCTTTCAGGAAATGCTTTATGTACCATAGATCAGCAAATTATCTTAGAACTATTTATACAGCAAATTCTGCAAGTTTTGAACTTATATTTGTTGAATTTATTGAGATATTATTAGACCTTTTAAATATATACATGTAACATACTTTTCATTATTTTATATATATTTGTATACTGAATTTCTTGGCAAATTTTTAACTTGTATAATACTATTGTGTATTGGATCATACTGCGTTGCACATTGTAGAAATTGGCTAGGACTATACGGGGTCCGCCAGTGGCCATGGCGTGTGCTGCTTACAGTATCAGAGGCCCTCTCAAGCTCGCTGCAAGGCACGGCTCGGATGTGTTGACTAGTAACAACTCGTGCAATGGCTCCAAGTCTTCGGTGTCTTACCCCATTGCTCAGTGGTGGAGCAGCAACTGCTCGTCCATCACAATGCGGCATGTTGCCTCCCATCATCACTTGATTGTTAAGGCTTCAGCAATGTGGCACTCAAACGCTTCAGCAACTGATGCAGCCACTGCTTCCGGTACATAAGATACTGGTTTATTTTGATTTGTTGTCTTAAACTCAGCTCGAAAATAAAATGTTTTAATGTAAATGCAAATCCAAGAGCAAGTTGGCTTGACACCTGTTTGTTGCCTTTTCTCAGATGATAGGATAACTGTACTGGTCATTGGTGGTGGAGTCAGGGAGCATGCTCTTTGTTATGCCTTGATCCGTTCCCCATCATGTGCTGCAGTTCTATGTGCCCCTGGTAATGCTGGTATAGCTCAGTCCGGGGATGCAACATGTATTTCAGATTTGGACATCTCCAGTAGTGATGATGTTATCTCGTTCTGCCGCAAGAGGGGAGTGGGAATGGTTGTAATGGGTCCTGAAGCCCCTCTAGTCGCGGATCTTGCAAATGACCTTGTCAAAGTTGGGATACCAATGTTTGGCCCTTCATCAGAGGCTGCAGCATTAGAAGGATCAAAGGACTTCATGAAGAAGCTGTGTGATAAGTACAATATCCCTACAGCCAAGGTACTTCCTTTTACATTTATGTGTTCTAAGCCCTATAAGTTAGTCTTGGCATGAATATAGGGTTATGTTTAGGAAATGCCCGCAAATAGGAGATGGCATCTGTAGGCTAAGATACGAACCAAACAACTATTTTATTTTTCATGGCATTCTGGTTAAGAACTATTTGTAATTCTAAAAAATCCCTACGTATTACTTTTAAATTAAAGTCATTGTGTTGCTTTAGAAAAGAGAAAATGTAAGATCAGTATACAACAAAAAATAAAAACACAGTTCATTCATTTGTAGGTATTGATAATTTCAGATGTTAAGCCATTCAAACCATTCTAATATGAGCACTTATTTCTCCCTAGTATCGCACATTCATGGATGCTGTGGAAGCTAAAAAATATGTAAAAAATGAAGGAGCCCCTATTGTTGTTAAAGCTGATGGACTGGCTGCTGGAAAGGGTGTGGTTGTTGCAATGACTTTGGGTGAGGCGTTGGAAGCCATAGACTCTATGTTGGTTGAAGGTTTCGGTTCTGCTGGTTCACGGGTTGTCATCGAAGAATTTCTAGACGGTGAAGAAGCCTCTTTCTTTGCCTCTTGAATCAGCACAGGATCACAAAAGAGTTGGTGATGGTGATGTTGGCCCAAATACCGGTGGTATGGGTGCATACTCCCCTGCTCCAATAGGGACAGATGAGCTCAAACGCATTGTAATGGAAAGTATAATTATCCCTACTGTTAAAGGCATGGCAGCTGAAGGTTGCAAGTTTGTTGCCGCATTATACGCTGGGCTTATGATCGAGAAGAAATCTGGGCTGCCTAAGCTTATTGAGTACAATGTCAGATTTGGTGATCCAGAATGCCAGGTTAGTTACCCATCTCTAACATCCAGTAATCATTTTTGTAGATTAACAGGCAAGAAGTTCCACAAAATTAATTGTCAGAAACAAGAGCTAAACAGAAGATTCACACAATATAAGTGCTGTATAGGGGAGTGTCGGAATTCATCCAACAAGAATCCAGTACAGACAAAAAGTTTAGAACAGGATCTTTTGGAAGAGACTCATCCAATTGCTTAGTAAACTTTCAATTTAGCAGAACAATGCATTAGACTATATGTACATGTCTAAATTTGATCATTCCAATTTGGGTTTTGGTTAATATGATCACTATATGGTCAATGTATTTTCGTTGGACAACAGAATGCAATGGATCTGCATATCTTAACAACAGAGTCTGTGCTTGCGCTGCACTTTTTCCCTGAAATTTGCTGTCTTGGTCTGCCACTGATAGTTCACTCTATTTTGTTCCAGTGGATGAGTTGAATAAACTCAATTCCTATAGTGCTACAGGAATGGTGCATTTCTGTGTTGTATAGCAGTGGATTTAGCCTAGGTGATCAGATATATGATGTACAATCTGAAAAAGGAGAGATGATGTATAACGAAGTGAAAAATTGCAATCCATGCCTTTTTAAGATCTATATAACCTATTCAGTGTTGGCCCACGGGATCACCGTCTGACGATAGTGAACTAGTCTCCCAGACCACTAGTCTCCCAGATCAGACCACTAGTCTCCCAGACCACTAGTCTCCAAGACCAGACCACTAGTCTCCAGACCACTAGTCTCCCAGACCACTAGTCTCCAGACCACTAGTCTCCCAGTCCACTAGTCTCCCAGACCACTATACCGGTTGTGTTCGTACCCACACACTATGGATCGAGCTAGAAGAAGAAGGGAGAACAGAGCAAGCACGCAGAATACAAGACAACAACGTTGGCCGAGGCCCTGTCTGTGTGATGGCAAATCTGAGCTCTCTTTACTGAGTTGCCTTGGTGCCCTATTTATACAACTCTATCTATCTAACTAAAGTACAGCGCACATGCTGTAACAGTAATTAGATAAGCATACAGGGCTGACTCTGCGCCGGCCACTGCATGTGCCTACAGTGCTGCAGGTGAGCCGTGCGGCGCCTGCACCTGCAGCGGCTACAGTATTACAGCAGGGGGCAAAGTCGGCGCCGCCTTCCTCTGCTGTGTTTCACACAAGGTGGCAGTAGATTAGCTAACATTCAGGACCAATCTGGTAGCCATTATACCGTTCCTTGTTATCTATTTAATCAATATCAGACACCATAAAGTTCCTCTGGTTCATGTAATTTTGGAAATTCCCCTAAAAAAAAGTAATTTTGGAAGGTCACATTTCTTGACCACTGTGGAATCTCCAATTTTTTACTCTAGCTGCTGCAAAAACCTCACTTTTATTTTATACCAACGACAGTTTTACATTTCTAACTTGGACCAGTTAATTTTTCAGTAATATCTAGGCCTATATTAGTGTCATGGGCATACTTTAGATGGCCCTGAACCCAAGCAGTGTTACTATGCTGTTGCCCAGCAGTCGCACCAGAAGGTCAATAACATATGAGATGCTAGAAACTAAGACAGATTTCTTGCTTAACGAGAGGAGATACAATAAAAGCCATCCTTATATAGATGTGACAACTTGACCTTAAGGAACTAATATCTGAGATTAAAGAAACAAACCAATATAATCTTATTTCTAAATAAAAACAAATCATAAGGCTACTGGAACAATAAACACGCAGTACCAGTAGAAGTACTACCATGTCAAAACTAAATCTGAAAAACTGTCACTAGAAAAGTATGATTGTTTTTTTTTCAGGAGTAGCTGTTTGCCTAAGTACATATGAATCCAAATTGCAGGCCACCATCGGTTCAAACTGCTGTTGTTGTAAAAATCATAATGGATTACTACATTGTAATATATGTTTGAACTTTATGGAGAATTTCCTTTGCTGCATCTTCATTGTGCTTGTCTAGTACATCTCAGAAGTACACTGCACAAATTTCAGATGAAATGTTTTAGCTGAAATCATTTGCTTGACCTGTGAAATATTTTTGCCATGATATTCCGACTATCCTTTTCTCAACTGATCTATTTTCATGTCATTATAGGTTCTGATGATGCGATTAGAATCTGATTTGGCACAAGTTCTGTTATCCGCTTGCCACGGAGAACTAGGCAATGTTTCACTAACCTGGTCACCTGAAATGGCAATGGTGGTTGTGATGGCAAGCCAGGGATACCCCGGCTCTTATAAGAAGGGGACTGTAATAAAAAACGTGGACAAGGCTGAGCAGGTGTCTCCAGCTGTCAAGATATTCCATGCTGGGACAGCACTAGATGGAGATGGCAATCTTGTAGCCGTTGGAGGGCGAGTTCTTGGTGTCACTGCCAAGAGCAAGGACATCGAAGAAGCAAGGGCAAGAGCATATGATGCAGTGGACGCTGTCGAGTGGCCAGAAGGCTTCTTCAGGCGCGACATTGGTTGGAGAGCACTGAGGCAGAAACAAGTGGCTAACTAGCAGTTACCCATGAGCATGAGATTTTCCTAGAGAACCACAACTATGGTGAGCTTGTAGTGTTTACAAGTAATAAAAGGGAAACGGTGTGGTATTCACTGTTTTTGGTTGTGGAAAGACAAAAGTATTGCTGGTCAAACAGCAGGTTGTTCAAAATTTAACGCCCGCTGATTTCAGCATGATTTGGTAGATGTTTGCACTGAGATTGTGTTCGGAGTCCAGACAAGCGCTAGAGTGAAAACATTGCCATCTGAATTCTGACCAATTGTCTTCAGTTCCAGATAAATGTACCTTCCAAATAATTGTGATATCTCAAACCAAACACTTCAAAGTGGGATCGACCTGGTCCCGTCCGCCATCGTCCCTGAACCAAGCACACGGTAAAATGCTAATGATGTTTCTGTTTTTTTTCCCCTATTGTGTACCACACCTGTTGGACCAGTTTGATCATCTGAAAGTATGAAACAGTTATGCAGTCAACCCTAGAGCAGGAATATTGCTAACAAGCAGCATGTTCATTTCGGCTGAAACAATCGTTGATTATAAGCCAGAAGTACTGCTGGCTGATTTAGTGTGAGAGAAAAATACTATTCCAGTTTATAATCCACGATCGTATACGATCGTATAAGCCGAAACGAATAGGCTGAAGGGCCAACTTAGGGCACGTTTGGATAAACATTTATTCTACTGTATTTGTATGTATTCGGTTAGACATAATATATAGTCACCAAGCTTAGATTATCTGTGCGTGGAAGTTTACAGGGTTCTCATCAGTCACAGTCCGGTAATTAATTAACTCGTTTAAAGATCTGTTGACAAGCAGTATATCCGTAGTTTTATTATAATTACTGAGTGGTGGCGGAACAAACCAAATGTCGCTACTTAATACAACGATCGAATGAATCCCCCCCACCCCCCACCACACACACACCACCCTCAGCATGTTCGTTTGGTCGTATTTGACTTATAAGCCATGCCTTATCAGTCAACGAATAATATTTTTCTCTCATACTAAATCAGCCAACGGTATTTTTAGTCATGGCTTATAAGCCAAACCCATCCAAACGAACATGGTTATTGCCATGGCTTATAAGCCAAATCAACCCAAACAAACAGTACTTTCAGCCATGGCTTATAAACCAAAAGCTATGATTATTGTCAGATTTTTCACCGGGGAGAATATAAGGAATGGTATGTCTCTGTCGCTTCTCCTCTTGTGCGCTTGTCGTTCTCGTTCTGTTTGTACTGCTCAAAACGACAAATGGAGTTGTCAATTCAACTCTGCTGCTGCTGCGGGTTGTATGGCGATGAGCATTCGAGTCATTGGTGATTAACAACAGATATGGAGCAGCCATTGGGCCTGTTCAGCAGGTTTTAAAGTCGGTTGATAAGTCGATTGAAGCTGTTTTGTTGTGAAAGAAAAATACTGTAGATTCTAGCTGATAAGCCGGTTGATAAGTTCAAGCCATACAACCCGAACGTCTAAATTGACTACCAATTAGCTCTTCTATTTAAATTGACTAACTAGTTGTGCTCGTCTAAATTGACTACCAATTAGCTCTTCTATTTAAACGAATTAGAGCTAATTTTGAGTTGCTAGTGATTAGGCCATGAGACCCAAACGTACCTTTGTAGCGACCATAGCTACAGCCTACAGAAGAGATTCTTTTAATTGAAAAACCAGAAGGCTGTCATCGATACAAGCGAAATCTGCTCGTCTGGGCTGCCGTCAATTAGGCCCCGTTTGGAATAGAGAACTTTTTTTTTTCCTTCTGTTCATGTATTTTTCCAATAAAATGAAACTGATTCTTATAAAATTCTTATACCATTCTTGTATCATTTTTGTGAAATTCTTCTAACAGACTCTTACTAGGTCGTCTTCTGCTGGTCTCTTCTCAAAACCCTTCCCCCTTCGCCACAGCGCTCGCGGAGCGGATGACGATTGACGACACGGCAGCAGGGGTACGACGGCAGGTCTTCGATAGGTGACCGACCGGTGGAGTGGAAATTGAGAGACGTCCACCAGTACCACCAGGCCAGACCGCCGCTGCCTGGTGCGGCTCATATGCCACAACAAAACGCCCGGAAGCCACGGGGCGGCGGTGCCGTGCCGTGGATCTGTCAGGCCGACGCTTCTTTCTTCGGCCGCTGGCGGAGACAGGAGATGGACGTCTCAGACCGGACTCGCCCGTGTCGGAGAGCGACGGCCGGTGACCGGACGACGGGTGACGCCGTGCGTGGCTTCGTCTCGGTGGCTGCCGCCGTCCCGGCTGGCTCGCTCACGTCCAGTCCAGCGGTTCAGGCATCCAGCTTACAGTGCAAGCTAAGCCACCGCCCACCGGTGGTGGCGTCGCGGAGTGTCATTTTTGCAATTTTTTCGTCGCGGTCGCGGCAACGGCTGGAACGAATATGGCTTGGTTTCAGGAGAGGCGAGGTCAGGTCGGCAGGAGCCAGGAGATAAGTGAAAAACGGAACTGACCGGGACAGGCCCGTCGCGGATGGCGGTTTCTTGGCGAGGATTGCGTCTGGTCTGGATCCACGGCCGGCTTTGCACTCGCTGGGGCAGCCGATGACGCGATCCGTGCTCGTGGCTGCGCCGCGCTGCGCACCTGTGTGTGTAGCGTAGGCGGTCGACGGCGATGTATCCATTCTGTTGCTGAATTGAATTCAGCACAGTGGCTGGCCGCTGCTAATCCATGGCCTTGTAGTGGCAGCACGCCATGGGCAGTGGCGTAACATGGATGGGTCAGTGGAGTAGTTGGATTGGAGGGTCGTCGATGGCGATCCATCCATCCATTAATTCCGGAGAGCCGCTTCTTGCGTCCGACGAGTTCACATTCTTCACTTAGACTGACAGGCAGATGGCCCTGTTCACTTGGCTTAACCGTACTTTTTTAGTCAACAAATAATATTTTTCTCTCACAACAGATCAGGCAACAGTACTTTTAGCCATGGCTTATCAGCCAAGCAAACTGGATAGAGATCGATGCATGTACAGTGGTACTCCCTCCGTCCACAAAAAAATATAATTATAGGATCCGTGCCGATCAAAATAGCTTAAATTTGATCAAGTTTATAGCAAACAGTATTAATATTTATGTCTCTAAATAAACTTATTATAAAAATATACTTTATAACTAATTTAATGATACTAATTTTGCATTAGGAATGTTAGTATTTTTTATATAATTTTGGTCAAAGTTTAAACTAATTTTTTTACGACTAATTAAAATTTGACCAAGTTTATAGCACACTATTCTGTTTGGCTGGTTGGAAAAATGATTGAGGCTGTGTTTAGTTCGTGAAATTTGGAAATTTGGCTACTGCAGCACTTTCGTTTTTATTTGACAATTAGTGTTCAATCATGGACTAGTTAGGCTCAAAACGTTCGTCTCGCGATTTCTAACTAAACTGTGCAATTAGTTTTTTTTGTCTACATTTAATGCTCCATATACGTATCGTAAGATTCGATGTGATGGCTACTGTAGTATTTTTTGGAAAACTTTTTAGAAACTAAACGCAGCCTAATGTTTATGCTGATTTATTTAGAAAAAAAATATTATTATTTTATTAAAATGTCCGGTTGATAAGTTGAACTGTCGAGGAGGGAGTACTAGTACCTTTAATTTCATTAGCGTCGAAATGCGTAGCACTGCAGAGTGCAGACGACGAGGCAACAGAGTACAGGAGCACAGCCTGTAGCATCAGCGGACTGCGGGTCCAGAAAACCACTGCTAGTAGTACGGGCGCGTTTAGGTGTAAATTTTTTTTTGGTTTTGGCTACCGTGATACTCGTTTGTATTTGATAATTAGTATCTAATTATAGACTAATTAGGTTCGAAAGTTTTATCTTACGATTTTTTACTCAACTGTGCAATTAGTTTTTTTTCTGTCTATATTTAGTACTCTATGCATGTGCTACATGATTCGATGTGATGAGTACTGCACAAGATTCGATGTGATGGGTACTGTGCAAGATTCGAATATCATATAAAAGTGTCGCGTACGATGTGTTTAGATACAAATGAAAAAATAAATTACAAAATTATTTATTAATTCGTGAGACGAATTTATTAAACTTAATTAATCGGTCATTAGCACGTGTATAATGTAGCATCACATTGTTAAATCATGGGCTAATTAGGCTTAAAAAATTCGTCTCTCAAATTAGTCGTAAACTGTATAATTAGCCTTGTTTAGTTCCCACCCTAAAACTTTATATCCTATCATATCGAATGTTTAGACACATGCATGGAGTATTAAATATAACTAAAAAAATAACTAATTGCACAGTTTGCGACTAATTTGCGAGACGGATTTTTTAAGCCTAATTAGTTCATAATTTGATAATAAAGTGCTACAGTAACCCATGTGCTATGGTGGGTTAATTAGGTTTAATAAATTCGTCTCGTGGTTTATGGACGGATTCTGTAATTTATATTTTATTAGTATCCGAACACTTCATGCGATACCCTATGTAATATTTGATATGACGTCCTGAAACTTTATTAACCAGATCTAAATAAGCACTTAGTTATTTTTTAAGTCTCTATTTAATAGTGTATTAAAGCTAAACCAGGCCCGAGCATTTCTGAGGTTCCGATGCAGAGTTCCATCCAGAGTTGAGTATGGGACGTCACAGCGCGTCCCACGCGAGAGACTGGTGCAGAGAATCCAAGCTCACTTGTTCTGCCGTTTTCAATCAACCCTGCAAGCAAGAAGGCGCCATCGTTGCATGGGCCACCATGCCGAATTCGAGAAGACCCATGATCCTATGAAACTTGCTTGCTCCAGCTCTACCCTTGTTAATTAATTCATTCTCGAGGTCAAGATCAACGGGTAGGGTAACAGCAGAAAGATCTGGAGGCAGAGGGACGCTACTCTGACGTCCGAACCACCACAAACGCCACTCCACTATCACTGTTCACTCAACATTTCATCAACGCCTTACGCCTCGTACCTTGGCGATGACGGACGTATGAAGGATGATGATGAACCATAGCAGGATGCCAGGAACACAGACCAATTGACCATTTTTCAGGTGACTCGAAACTAACAAGCTGAAAAACTAGCAATTCTTACAGGTAGTAATTAGTACCAGTCCAAAAAGAACAGCACTGTATAATCCACACTCTAGTGGTTGACCAAAGATTGATTTTTTTTAGTAGGGTTTGAGATTTGGATCCTAATCTAGCTAGCCAATTCCTGCATGCAACCTTTCTCCGCCGTGCACGCACAGATGACTGATCATGCGGCGACGCTAGGCTACTACTGCTTGCCGCCGCCGCCGCCGCCGCCGTTGAGCATCTCCTTGTAGTTGAGCAGCGAGTTGAGCCGCTGCAGCTGCAGCTGCTGCCTGAACTTGTTGATGAAGTCGTCCGCGCGCGCGTCCACGCACTGTTCCGTCTCCGCCTCCTCCACGACGCCGCTCGAGCTCGACTTGCTCATCCTCGCCTCCTGCTTCTTCTTGCCCTGCTCCCGCGCCGGCTCCGACCGGCTCCGCCCGTGGTGCGCCGCCTCCTGCTTCTCCTTCTCGTCCGTCTCGGCGGCGGCGGGGAGGTCGGGGCCCAAGTCGCCGGAGCGGAAGCGGTACAGGCCGAAGGAGCGGAGGCGGTCCAGGACGGACGACGTGCGCGACAGCGGCGGCGCGGGCACCGGAGGCGGGACGTACTCCTCCTCCTGGTAGTGGTGCACCACTTGCTGCTGCTGCTGCCTGAAGCTGTCGATGAATGCCTCCGCCCTCGCGTCCACGCACTCGCCGCCGGCCTCCACCGGGCTCTGAGCGGGCGTCTTCCTCGCCTCCGAGCTCGACTTTGCCATTCTTGACTTCGCCTCCGACTTCTTCTCCTTCTTGCCCTGCTCCGGTGCCGGCTCGGACCGGCTCCTGTCGTAGTGCGCGTGCCTCTTCTCGTCCGCCGGGGTGGCGAAGCCATCGCTTGCTGGAACTGACGCGGCGGCGGGTTGGTCGGGAGCGAGGAAGCCGTAGAGCCCCAGCGAGCGGAGCCGGTCCAGGACGGACGATGTGCGCTGCAGCGGGGTGGGTGCCGCCGGCGCCCGCACCCGTGCCGGAGGAGGAACGTATTCTTCCTGGTAGTTGTACTCTTGCTGGAGCGGCGACGGTCCCCGCCTGAAACCGCCGACGGGTTCCTGCGCCCTCGCTTCCTCCACGGAGTCGTCGTTCTCGGCGACCGCCTCGACGACCCTGGGCACCGCCCGCGCCACCTGCGACTTCCTCACCTCCGAGCCCGACTTCTTCACCCTGGGCGGCGCCGGCGACGGCCTCCTCTCATCCTCCCGCCCCGCAGCAGGTGCCGGCTCCGACCGGCTCCTGGCGTAGTGCGCCGTCGCGGTCGTCTCTTCCTCCTCCACCGGAGCGGACACATCCTGAGCGTAGTTCGGCGCTGCCGCCGCCGCAGCAGCGCCGTACTCGGGCGGGAAGTCGCCGGAGCGGAAGCGGTAGAGGCCGAGCGACCTGAGCCGGTCGAGAACAGAGGACGTGCGCGCGAGCGGCGCGGGCGCGGGCGGAGGCGCGTACAGCGTCTGCTCCGGGTGGTAGTAGTGGCCGTACCCCGGCTGCTCCATCTGCGGGTGCAGCGGTTCTTCTTGGAGGTGGTGGCCGTGGGCGTCGTCGTGGTAGTAGTGCTCCCTGCGTCGGCGCTGCTGGGTGGCGCGGGAGGTGAGCGCGATGGTGCCGATGACGAGGTTGACGACGAGGAAGAGCGTGGCCGGGGAGAAGTAGCCCCGGATCCACGCCCACGCGCCGAGCGGCGTCGCCGCGTCGGCGCTGTCCATCTTGCCGCTGAGTCCGAGTGCACGGGAACAGAGACGAGACGGGCTTGGGGTGGGGGGACGGAGGGGAGATTGGGAGGCGGTGGTGGTGGTGGTGGGGATTGGCGTCTGGTTGGTGACCACGGCGTCGTCAGGCGTTAAATGGTGGCTGGGGCTGCGGGGAACCACGCGGCGCGCCGCGGGTGGGGATGATGGTCTGCTGCTGACTTGGTGGGTGGAAAACGTGGGAATCCAAGTGCCGCCCCTCGTGCCCGCGCGAGCCGACCCGCCGGGATTGCAGGCAACTGATGCCCATTCCTTTCTTCATGGCATCTTCCCGCTCCGCAACGACGTACGACGCGTGCGGTATAACTGCCACGCGGCCTCGTACAGTCATCGGCAACAGTACAGTCAATCAGTCGTATACTTATCCCATTCGCTTGGCTGATAAGATATTGATTAATTTGTTGTGATGGAAAAATATTGTTCGTTGATTGAAAGGGTACGACTTATAACTCATGCGAAGAGAGTGACTTGTACTAGCAACAGTGAAGCGTTTGGATCTTTCGTTGAAAGAAAAAACAGTGAACTGCCTTGTAGGTTGTCCACTGACTGGTCCACATTTCTTGATGCTATGCCTTTTTTCCCCCTAGTTCCATCAATTCACACCTCATAGATTTCATTTAAACGACTGAAATCTAGGACTAAGACGCTGAGGCAACAGCAATGGGCCAATGGCAGCTGAAGTTAAGCGAGGGGGGGCTGGCAATGGACCGAAATTCCCCCAAGGTTTCGGTCGTTTGTCAAACAAAAGAGGCGTAGCCTACATCTGAATAGGACTGCATGGTGATTTCCCGTCACCACTTGGCGAGTTTGGATCATATAAAAAAAAACACGACCGTAATAATACCGTCAGCCGCAGAAAGAAAATGCATGCAAGGCAACCTGAAGACTCAGAGGTCGGAGCGTATGGAATGGATCCGACAAAATACAAACTGATGTGTGTACTAGTACTCTAGTAGTAGTAGCGACAAAATAAGAACAGGCGGCACGTACTGAGGCTTCTACAAGATGGGCGCATCGCATGGTTGGACCGTCCAAAGCCCGACACACACATGGGCTCGCTCCGCTCGAGCGCGCTTGAGAGTCGCTCACCCGACACGTGCCGTCACGTGCTCTACCCGCTTTGACAAACCAGTCTGGACTCCCCGGCCTTCAGGTCAACGAGCAATGCGCGCGCCAAATCATCACGTCCAACGCTATCAAGCCACCTAACGTGAGCAGATAAGCGCGGTCGCTAGACGCTAGCTAACCCGCAGTTCTCCCCTGTCATTGTCACAGGCACCGTAACGTATCGAGTCCGATCTCGTCTGTCAATCTGTCATCGCTTTGCCACGAAACGAGACGCGCCGGGATAGGAATAGCATAGCATAGCACGTCATGTAGCCAGCCAGCAATGGACCACACCTTAGCCTTTGCGTCGTGCTCGCGATCGATGCATATGCACGCAGCTCAGCAGCTGGGACGGTTAGCGGCGCGGTGGTGTAGTATATACTCCTAATTCCGCGTGCAATCAGAACGTCCCGAGCCAAGGCCTCGACTCAAAGGCCAGAAGCTCCGGTTTCGATCAGGGATCCGTTGCACGCAACTAGGGAGCCTGACGCGCGACTCCTGGCACCAGACGCCGCCCTTGGTCCCCTGACCTGTAATTTAGGCCAAGGGACAAGCTTCAGCCGCGCGCTGGCAGGAGGCTCGACGTGACGGTGGTGCAGTAACGTGGGCGACGATCATGGGTTCATGGCTGGAGTCGCTGTTCATTTGAGTTATAAATCGTCTTTTTTTGGTCAACGAATAATATTTTTCTCTCACAATAAATCAGCCAATAGTACTTTCAGCTATGACTTATCAGCCAATCGAACAGGACAATGATGCGCTTATGGACTTGTGCGCTGGCGGGCCTAGCATATATGTGGACATGAATGAAAAAGGGTACAAACTAGAAACTCCATTCAATTATGAAGGATACAGAGTAAAGCAGAAAAGGTATGTTCTAGAATATTTTTAAAAAAATAACAGTCAATTCGACAGATTTACTAAATTATCCAGCTCTATCATAATGAAAAAAAAAACAACACAAAGTTCTTTAAATGGTTTTGCATCTACATTATCGAGCACAAGTCTGGCCGAACAAGCAAGGAGTGGTGACAGGAAGCTACAAGCACGTGGTGCCAAGGCCGACCACGCAGGGCCGCCGTGGTGGCTGGAACTTTAGAAAATGACGTATTAGGAAGACAGATGCAATTCTTGAGGACTTAGGATTGTAAACGGTGCTCAAAAGATCTAACACATCCTCTGAGAGACATAAAGAACACAGCAAATGCGGTTGGGTTAATATTTTAGATCTTACTCCGTATAGTGCTACTTCAGACATGACCGGTTGTTCTGAACTTCGAAATTTTGGTCATTACTCGGAAGTTTTTTTTTTTGACTAAGATTTGTGAGTTGACCGTGTCAGAAACATTGGTATAGGGAGAGGGGATCGATTTGTTTTCAATCTCCTAGAGATGCTTTTAGACCTGATTAGAGTTCCGTTGAGTTGCGGTGCGTGGTGTCTCTTCTGAGCTCCGGATACGACTTTCCTCGCGATCGCCGTCGTCGGGACCGGCACACGAGAACTCACCAGTCACCAAACCATCGGAGGCCTGGACCACTCAACTCCCTCACGCACGGGCCCATTTTTTATTGTGGACCTACTGTACACGGCGGTCAGGCATCTTGGGCCCATGTCCCCAGAAAGCCCCCTCCTTTCTCGAAGCCCAACGCGCGGAAAGCCGACCAGCGAGCCCGTGAGCCGCCAAGGTCGCCGTTCTCCTCGCCCACAACCACAAGGCCGCAACCACAAGTCCACGACTCTCCAACCGTTCCTCTGGCTGAATGACATGTGGGCCCAGGGCTCCTCGTACCGCACGTCAGTTGGGAGCGCCGCGGATCCCGTGGCCCGGCCGCCACCTTTGCCGGTTGCTGCTCGCCGCCGTTCGAAATTTGAATCCCCGCTACACGATCGGCGAACGGTTTGTTTGCTCCTCCCGCACCGTCGTGGCCGAAAAGGACAACGGCTACCTCCTCCACCATCCCCACTACTTCACTGGTTGCTTCTCCTTCCATTTTGTCGCGTACCGTCTCGCCTCGCCTCGCCTCGGCTTCTCCTCCTCCATATCCCAGTGTCGACTGGCGAGTGCCCCCACACAACCAAGCGGAAGCTTTGGCCGAGCAGAGGAAGTAAGCAGTCGCGTCTCGCATTGCGCGGCGCCAATGGGGGCGTCGGGGAAGTGGATCAAGTCGCTGGTGGCCCTGAAGGCGCCCGAGAAGGCGGCGGGGCACAAGGGCACCCGCAAGTGGCGTCTGTGGCGGAGCTCGTCGGCCGCTTCCAGGGCCAGCGCCGGCGAGGGCAGCGCGCTGGCGTCCGAGGCTTCTTCGGCGTCGGCCGACTCGTTCAGCTCCGTCCTCGCCGCCGTGGTCCGCGCGCCGCCCAGGGATTTCATGCTCATCAGGCAGGAGTGGGCCGCCGTCCGCATCCAGACCGCCTTCCGCGCGTTCTTGGTATCACCCGAATTCCTTCTCTGTTTCCGTTTGGCACTGTGTCACTGCTACTTCCATAGTTCCATGTTCTGTGATCTTGACCCTTGCTTTTATGTGGCGGCGCGTGAGCAGGCGAGACGGGCGTTGAAGGCGCTGAGGGGCATCGTCCGGCTGCAGGCGCTGGTGCGCGGCCGGCTCGTGCGCAAACAACTGGCCGTCACGCTCAAGTGCATGCACGCGCTGCTGCGGGTGCAGGAACGCGCCCGGGAGCGCCGGGCGCGCTCGTCCGCTGACGGCCACGGTTCCCGGGGCCAGGATGCGCTCATCGGCCGTGCCAGTTCTACCAAAAACGCTATGGTATATGGAACACCGAACACGCAAAACATATCGTGTTTTTCTGCTTTCAGAATGTGCAATATTACACTTACACCCAACCATTTGTTGATTAGCTGCTAAGTTGCCTATGAAATTCCGCCCTTACCGAGTAGACAGCTAAATGTCATCTGCCATTCAGGAAAATTTGAGGGAACAACCAAATTTCTGGCGACGGATTTCGGTTGACAGTGTTGTTGGAGTATCATAATGTCTTTGGTTCCTTGGTATTACTAATGGTGATGTCACATGGACCATGTGGTTCAGTTCCTTGGTTGCCTTCCACTGAGATTTTTTTACAAATTTGTTCACAATAAAGGTAGTTGATTATATTAAAACTTCCCTCTAACTTTAATTTCAATTTGGTGTTTTAAAGCTAATGATCACACACTTTGAATTTTTTTAGAACCGTAGAGTTCTGAGATCATTAGGAAGTCAGAAACTGGTAAAAGTTTGAATTTTGAATTCACATTGTGCTCCTGTTGATATCTTGACTATTTAAAACTTTCCATGTGTTCTTACACTGGATTCCTTATGGGAAACTGACGTGAGAGTTGATATGGTGGGTTACTTTTATTTGAAAGGGACTTGTATCAGTAAGAATGACATGGACAACTAAGCTTCCTTTATCTTTTGTAATGATTGAGTCCATTAAGATTGTTTCTCGCTCTTTCACATTGACAATGTGTGTTTGAATCAATATTGTAGTGACGCTGTTAGGTAAGAAAAGCCTATGGTGATAACACCAATAATCAGCCTGTTCGCTTGTTGGTTTCAGCCAGGGCTTATCAGCCTGTATACAGTGCTTTCCTCTCACAACAAACCAGCACCAGCTGGGCTTATCAGCCCAGAAACCAACCAGCGAACAGGCTAATATCTTTTACAATTAGGTATTGCCAACCCAACTTTCATGTTCAGACCACAGTGGCTTATCAGCCCAGAAACCAACCAGCGAACAGGCTAATGTCTTTTACAATTAGGTATTGCCAACCCAACTTTCATGTTCAGACTACAGTTGAATAGAAATAAAATAGAATGAGTTCACACTACAGTTTGCTGTTTCTGTTGATACCTGCTCGGCTGCTTTCACTAGAATAGTAATGTGATGGTGCAAAGATTTCTTGGCTACTTAATATTTCAGGAACAATGGTGTGACCATCACGGATCTGTTGATGAAGTAAGATCAAAGATACACATGAAGCATGAAGGTGCAGCAAAGAGAGAAAGGGCTATTGCCTATGCTCTGTCTCACCAGGTACATGTTGTAGCACATCTTTGCCATGCTGTAGTAACACTAGGTAATACCACATCCATAGTTTCATTTTGATAACATGTCGATCATATGTTCCTTTCAGCCTCGGGGTGCAAAACACAAGGGAAGACCAAGTTCTCCTGCTAGCTGTGTTAGAAGCCATGAGCCTAATAGGTGCAATCACGACTTGAGTTACTTGGAAGGATGGATGGCAACAAAGCCATGGGAGACCAGAATTATGGGGGGAAATCATACCGACTCGCAGCTCGCGAAGAACTGCGAGGAGGCGAACTTGCCTGCCTCCAAGCTTTCTGATGCTAGCTCAGTCAAAATCAGAAGAAACAATGTCACAACCAGGGTAGCAGCAGCCAAGCCGCCTCCTCCTTCGGTGCTGTCAGCTGCTTCTTCCGACTCTGTGTGCGACGAGAGCTCTCCGTCGAGATCATCAGTGACCTTGACGTCTGCTACCAACACTGTCTTAGCATCAGAAGCAAGGTCAGACAGTTGCAACGCCGGAGGACCGAACTACATGAGCTTGACCAAGTCTGCCAAAGCTAGGCTGAGTGGCTGCAGCAGCAGCCACCGAGGGTCGTCGTTCCAGCGGCAACGGTCCAGGGACATGTCAAGGGTGGCTCTGTCTTCAATCGACACCCAGAGCAACGCAGGCTCAGAGATTTCAGTCACCTCCAAGAGACTGAACAGCATGTCCCTGAAAGGAAGCCGGAGCATGACGATTGATCGATCGTTCAAGATCAATGGATAAACAAAGGAGCGTGAAACCAATCAACCTTGATCTACCGATCGATCAAGATCCAATGGATGAAACAAAGCTCTCTACCCGCCGGCCTTTTTTTTTTTTGCGCTTAAGCCCCCCACCCCATCCATTGGATTAGCATCTAGTAGTCCTGATCGATAGTTTTTAAGTTTACACAGGTTGGTTGGTTTGCACCTGATACGTTGCCATAAACAAATCCTTAACCATATATATTAATTAGTTGCAGTTATCATTATCCTAGTTTAGTGTGAGTTGTGTACACATCCAATCGATGTCCAGTTCCTAATTTCCTTGTCTCTAGTCTCCACGGATAAATTATGTAAGTACTTATTAACATGCAAAGGGCAATTATCTCGCGTTCTATGTAATTAGAGTCGTGGTGGATGTTGATAGTATCTTATGTTGGGGATTGGGGTCACCGAAGCCTGAATATGATACGCGAGGCTCATCTTGTCTGTTTCTGGCGCGAAACCGTGTGTCCTCTTCGCTGAAGATCCCATGACATGTCTCGGGCGATCGTCCGGGCGCTCAAACAATTGCTCTGCGCATTCCGATTGGCCGTCGCATATATGATGGCCTCAACAGAATCGGCCCGGCAGACATTTGCAGCAGCTCTTTGGGTCGGTAGGGTGCCCTGTAATGGCTAGCGTCCTCGACTTGTTTAATCGCTCAACATTTGTTTGACTAACGCCTGGTCTACGTTAAGCCCTGATTGTTGCAATAAAAAAGTAATTTATATGCCTGTAGCGAACTAGCGATCGATGGAGTGATAGAATAGGGGGAGAAAATCTGTGGCCGATGGGCGATGGGATTTTTCTGCGCCGCTGCGGCCTAGTGCTGTACCAGTCCTGACCAGTGCACACGCGGCGGACAGGGACGTGCCGAAAACTACGCCTTTCGCCGGAACCGAACAACACTATCAGTTTATCACTGCGCCCTGAAACAGGTCTGAAGCGGCTCGTGTTTACAGTTACCGCCGCTGGTGGCGCCCCTGATGGCAACCCTTGGTGGAAAAGGTCTGGTCTGGTTGGGCACGGCTCTGAACGGCTCCATGCGGCGCAGCCGGAGAGGGCGGGGTTTGGACGGCCGGGATGGGTCGGCGGCGCCTGGGCAGCCCGGGGAGACAGAGACACGGACGGATGGTCCAGACGCGGGGAACAGTGCCGGCGCCATGCATGCCGTCACCGGCAGGCAGGCACAGTGGAGAGTGTAAGCGGACTGGGCGGTGCAAAAAGATTCTCGGCGATCGACACGGTGAGGGGGACAGACAATGCAGAGTTACGAGAGGGCCCCCCGGGCGGGGTGGTGACTGCTCACCGGACCGCCCGCGAAAATGACAGCGGCGGGGGACGAGGCGCGGTGCGGTTGGGAGGTGTTTGACCCACCGGAATTAAAAGGGGAGGGCGATCGATTACACCACTCGCCTTGCTTAATGCCGCCATCACTTGGGAGCTCTGCCGAGACGCGCTGCTGGAGATAACGCACGCGCAGCCAAACACGGCACCACCATCCTTCCCTCCTCGAAGCTCCCGCTCCTCGCCGGCTAGGCAGCGCCAGGAGAGGCGGGGGCCGGCGCTAGGCTAGGCAGCCGCGCGCGTGGCCGCCGATCGGCATGGGCGACGGGGCGCCGGCGGTGCCGAGCAGGTTCCGTACGATCTGCGTCTTCTGTGGCAGCAACGCCGGCCGCCGCAAGGTGTACGCCGACGCCGCCCTCGAGCTCGGCCACGAGCTGGTGAGTGTGCACGTGCAGGCAGTGGGAGCCAGGGAGCTCACCACGCCCGCCATGCGCTAGAGCACTGCCACCAGCGTCCTTTCTCTTGGATGTTTTGAGTTCTTGCTTGGTAGCTGACCGCCGTCGTGTCCGCGCCTAGCTTCTGTAACCGCAACGTACCAACGTGCAGGTGCGGAGGGGCATCAACCTGGTCTACGGCGGGGGCAGCATCGGCCTGATGGGCGTGATTGCACGGACGGTTCGCGACGGCGGCTGCCATGTCCTTGGGTACCCTGACGCGCTTGAAGCTTCACCTTTTTTTTTCTTTCTTTTGATGTGTGTGTCACCTGCACCCTTCTTTGAATACACCCTATCTGATGTTTTGGAGCTGTTTTTCCTGTTTGCTTTTGATTTGTTCATTCGTTCACAGGGTGATTCCCAAAGCGCTCATGCCTATTGAGGTATGTGAATTTCTTTGCTCCTAGATCTGTTCATGGTGTGGTAGTAGTAGAGAAGAACTGCTGTTCAGCTAGCCCAGCGTTTAGCTAGCAATGATTCTCGTTGGGTCAAATTTAAGCATGTCCCATTCACATCATGCATAATTCAGCTTCAGCTACAACTACGATAGGATTCAATGAATGACTGCTGAGCTTCTTGTCTGTCTAGTCGTTCCGTTTCCCTTTTACGTATTTCTTCTCCATTTCCAGTTGTCCTTTCTACTATTGATGAAAGAATTGGCCAAGCAAGGACTACTATTATTTCTACTAGCAGAAGGTTCCTCCTATCTAGTCGACAATTTGGAGTCTAGACCTAGGTGCCGTCTGAACTCAGCACTACACGTGCCTAGTAGACTCACGTAGAGGATGCTTTTCTAGTCCTTTTCCTTTGTATAAACTTGGGTCCTCTACTCCTGTACTAGAGAATGTTTTCCTAGTCGAGCCGGCTGGTGTTGTTGTTTTCTTTTCCTTTTCCTTTTCCTTTTCCATCGTTAATCGCGGCAAAACTCTTGTTGCTGCTCTTTTCGGGGAAAAGAAAAGTCTGTCAAGTGGCAAGTGAATTTTATCTGATGTGAACCTGAACAGTGTGTCCCCTGTCATTCAGAAAATCCATATCTCACAGTTATGTATGTACGCTTGGACGATGGACATTTGCAATGACATTTGCTCACGTACGTCTCTCTTGTGCTTATGGGTTATGACAGATATCAGGTGAGAGCGTGGGAGACGTGAAGGTCGTCGACGACATGCATCAGAGGAAAGCCGAGATGGCTCGCCAATCCGAAGCGTTCATCGCTCTTCCAGGTGCCAGATTCATGTTCTATGGTTTTCCTGCTACCATCATCGACAATAATTCAGTCGAACTTGCATTGCTTACATACAGTTTTGTTAATTTCTGTCAGGGGGGTACGGGACGATGGAGGAGTTGCTGGAGATGATCACCTGGTGCCAGCTTGGAATTCATGACAAACCAGTAAGTGAACTAACTGACAGGAAGATCACTACACGGATCGGCAATGCGATCTTGTCAGTCAGACAAACTAAGGCCGGCGGCCTCTTCTCTCAGGTTGGGTTGCTGAACGTCGACGGCTACTACGACCCGCTGCTTGCCCTGTTCGAGAAAGGCGCCGCCGAGGGCTTCATCAACCCTGACTGCAGCCAAATATTCGTTTCTGCGCCGACCGCGAGCGAACTGCTGACAAAGATGGAGGTAGCAATCAGCTGACTGCACAGTCAGTACATCTTCAAGCTATGGCTGTTGTGGATGAGTTTTGAGCCATTCCTGTGTGGCTTATATATTGCTTTGCTTGTATTCTTCAGCAATACACCCGGTTGCACCAGGAGGTAGCCCCAGCAACGAGCTGGGAGATCTCGGAGCTCGGCTACGGGAGAGGCGGCGGCGCGCCGTCAGAAGAAGAAGGCTCGTAGCACTACTCATCCATCTCCTGAAGCCGATCGGAGCTCTCCTTCTTCCACAGCTCCACTGCTGATGACGCATTTGTTTGGCCATTTATTTCGTCAAGTCGATCTCTCCAAAGTCCAAACCGGTTGAACTAGGTGCCCGGTCGGGAGAGGCGATATCTCTGTTTGAGTGCTCGGTTATGTAAGCTAGCTGGTAGCCTGGTACTCCTCCCTCCTTGCGGTGTGTGGTGCTTGTGGAAATGGAATCTGTGCTGTGCTGTGCAGCTACCGTACCCAGTCCGCCAATCGGGACGGAGCAGCACGAAAGCAGCCGCAGCTGCTGCCCGGCCCCGGGGTGGCGACGACGTCACAGGTGAGAGCGGCCACTGACTGGGCTCGTACTCATTGCTGCCTCTTTGCCGCCGCGTGTCTCGTCTTTGGGTGACGGCAACTTGCACGATTCCACGAACGAAAGCGGAAAAGGCAGCCCCGGCTCTGCCGCTTTTGTTCCGATTAGCACAGCCAGGCTTATTCAATCAGCACCAGCCAGCCTAAACCAGTCCAGAAACAAACCAGCGAACACGCCGTTTGGGACCCAGGGGTGGGGTGCCGGCCGGGACGCCGGGGCGTGGCATTCATTCAGGACATCTGAGGCAATCCATCAACCTACCTACAGGCTACACCTAGCGACGATATCTCGATATGCCTGGATATGGATTGGATGGAACTGGTGAATTATTGGTGCGAATCCGCCGTAGCTGACGACGGTCTGATCCGAAGCAGCACTGCACTGGCGCGTGTTCAAAACCGGCGGCGGGGCGGGGCAACTGCTGTTTCGCTCGGTTTGGGCCGTGGGGTTCCTCTTGCCGTGCTTAGTGGGCTCGTTCCTGGGTTCCAGATCGCTCGCCACTCGACAGAGCGCCAGACGCCAGAAGTTGGCACTTGGGTTGGGAACTTGGGATGGCGCAGCGCGCACCAATAGAATCGACGCGACAACTGCCACGGTCCACAGACGCGCACCCGGCCCATATCAATGTTACCATGGTCCACGGACGTTCTATTCTTCAAGGAATGAGATAGGAATTAATTTCTCGAAAAAAATCTCCCGACTTGTGTGAGACAAAATGTTTTCATGAAAAAAAACATGTAAATAAATAAAATACATGGGTTTTAGCAGTCGATTGGCCATGGGGCGGGCCTGGTACAAGCGGTAGAGTCTTACATTTGTATTGATCGAAAGGTCCCGGTTCAAGTCATGGTCTCCTCGCATTGCACAAAGCGAGGTAAGACTTGCCACTTACACCTTTTCATTGGGACCCCAGAGAGCGGGGAGCTCTCTCTGACTGGGTACACCCTTTTTATTACTACAGAATCATTTT